CGCTCGACAGAGCCGCTCGGCCGTGATCGGGAGCTGTACTGGCTATTGTGAATAGCCCGTACAGCACCCCCTCGGTTCTCCTGAACCGAAGGGGTCCTGGGGCCGAAGCTAGCCGAAGGATCGGCCGAAGCTACGGCCAGATCCTTCGGCAGCTTTGTGAATAGACCCCATAGTGAACCTCGTCACCCTTGGACAGGAAGTGTCTCACCGGCAGGATCGCCAGGTAAAAACTAAAGGCGAAAACCTCTAAGATAGGGCCACCACATCTGGTAAGCTGCAATGTATGACATTCCTGCCCTTGGGTTTCTATACGGTTAAACAGCTGTGGATGTCGCGGTGTAAATTCGAAGAAAGCTGGAATTGTTGTAAAGATGCGAAATCCTCATAATCGGTACGGTGGTGCATTTATTTTGGCTGTAGACCAGGAAAACACGAGTGAGCCGATGGCATAAATAATTAAATAATATAGTGCACTGGTGCCAGTAAGTTCCACGTTGAGGTCGTAGGCACGGTACATTATTAATGAATGCTGGACGTAATGTTTTATGCGGGAAAACTCAAAAGTTGTACGGCCGTTGTTGACTACAGTCTCTTCTTAGTTTTGGGTAATGGTAGTTTTAAATATTCGGTGTGCTTCTTACTCCCTGAAAAAATTCGGAGTCTAAAGGTCATGCAGCGCACCACACACCCACAGCTGCCATTCCCCCCCCCTTCACCGTTTTTAGCAGCTATTCCCAGCAGCTGTCAAAATGACAGCCAGGACTTGCTGCTTATAGCCAAAGGTCGGCTGTAGCCACTGCTGTCAAAAATGAAGCAGAGTGTGTAAAGTGTTCAGAACCAACTTGGAAATGCAAAGTCATATTATTATTATGCATTTACTCTGTTTCATTAACCCCTTCATGACTGAGACTTTTTTTTTTTTTTTTTGCACCCATGTTATATTCCACATTTTAGGCCTGAAAATTACGTAAAACCCCCCAACATGATATATTTTCTGAAAGCCGAGACTCTGTAGAATAAAATGGCGGCAGTTTGCAAATTTTTATGTTGCACGATATTAGCGCGACTCCTTATCAAAAAATTTTGTGGAAAATGTACTTAAATGCCCCAAACCACAAAAAAACACCCATTGTTTTTAATAAAATATAAAAGACGAGGTTACAGCGAGTAAATAGCGTCCTCCCGTCACCCTAAGCTCAGTATATAGCGAGCTACAACTCCCTATATACTGAGACCGCCGCAGCCGGGACGGATCTCAGCATTACTGTCGAGATCCACCCAGCTGCGTGAGTGACAGCTGACTCTGCCTATCTAGAGGCAGAGCCAGCTGTACCCGCCACCTCCCCCGTCCGTTCCGCCAATCAGCGGTGGAGGATCGGACAGGGGAGGGGGGAAATCCCTGCAGGGAGCCGTGAGTGACAGTCACGGCTCTCTGCAAGGAGAAGAGCGAGAAGTGAGCGAGCGGCGGTATGTGTTCCCTCACTTCCCGAACAGTGCTCGTTTCATTCCTTATGGATGCGCTCTGCCCCGGAGAGTATTTGAGCTTAATCAGCAGTAACATTCATACAGCTGACATTCCAGAAAGTGGAAACCGTTCC